GCCGGTTTTCTCAATCACGCTTTACCATACTTCTCCTACTAGTAGTGCAGTACGCACAGCACAGAGGATGGAAAGTGCTGCTGTTATTTGTTACATTTGGTAGTTCTTCCTCCAGGGGTCGCGCGGTGGCTCATAAAGGTGGCTCCTCCTTTGAGCTACACTCGAATTTAATTCAAACATTTGTATATTAAACAGTATATTCGTTAAAAAATTTTTTTTTATTAATTTTAAAGCATATTAGCCGATATGATTATTGCAATTAATTCTAATTATCTTCATAAAAAATTGATTACGAAAAAAATGTCCTAGCAATCATAATTGAGTATGATTGGTCCGTCTAGAGTAGCGCTGGGAAAAGTAACACATACCACGTGACATCGATGTCTTTCCTCAAATCAAGTTACACGTTACAGAAACTTACAAATCAAATAATAAACACTAAGATAAGATCACTTTAAAGAGAAAAAATACTAACGTATATATAGAAATAGAAAAAGCACATATAATTATAATTAAAAAAGAAAAAAAATAGGAGAAAAGAGAGGAATGCCAATGATAATATTTAAAAAAAATTTTTTTTTTTTTTTTTTAATTCAAATAGCAATGAAAATAATATGCCTGCAAGACAGAGAAAATCCGGTCAAATAAAATCAACAAGATATTAATAGCTTTCCCTACACTTTGAGTAAGAATAATTATTATTAATCATGTTTGTTTAGCCCGACCAATTAGAGCACGTCTGCTCCGCTAAGCCCCGCCCATTCCCAGACTCTGTTCCAGAGATATTAATAGCTTTCCCTACACTTTGAGTAAGAATAATTATTATTAATCATGTTTGTTTAGCCCCTGACCAATTAGAGCACGTCTGCTCCGCTAAGCCCCGCCCATTCCCAGACTCTGTTCCAGGCTCGCTCGCTCGCTTTCTCTGCAGTATGCAGTATGCAGCGCGTTAGTATTCCAGTACAGACGCAGTGCGCATGCTCATTGCTCGCGTGCTGAAATTACTGACAGGTGTGACGAGTTTTTCAGGTCGAGTCTCAGGAGGCAAACAAACAGAAGTCTATGAAGATACTAAACATAAACACAGTCCGTTTACTACTGGTATCACACTATAAGTGATTTGTTTCGGATTCATATCGAATTGCAGAGAAACACACAAGACCTGAAAGATCCGGGGTTTTTTATTTGAGGAGAAAGACATACAGTATAATGTTTTACCATAAATATACAGAATGTAGGCACAAATAAATATGACAAAATCCTGTTATACTTTTTCCCCTGGGAGTAGGCTGTTATACATTTTTTTCTATTGCTCTTTTTTTGTGGAGACTTCAGAAAAAAAAAGAAAAAAAAGATTGCAAACAGTAGTTGTATTTTTACGTAAAAAACACCTGCTATTTATACAAAAGAGATGATGCATTTATACTCCTGTAGTAGTATAATTATGAATTCGATAAAACAATTTCAATGTCAATTTTTATTTTATGCATGTTTGCTATCCTTATTATTAAATTTAGTTCAGCCTTTTTTTCTATTTGTCTCAATACAAGTTAGCTGCCTTTCAGATGATGCATAGCCTATAAATGAAATCTGACAAGTTTCACAATCAAGAACCAGTTTGAGTTTCAGGGCTCGACAGGCATAATGCAGCTATATGACTAATAATTCAGTAATTCGGGTCATTAGGACACCACCTTCCCTCTATTCATGTGGAGTACAAGTTAATCGAGAGTAAACCTCCTTTTCTTGCACCAGGAGCAGGATTTGAACTTGTTTAGGACTTTAAGTAAAACACCTCGACAGCTCTGCCTTCATATCTATGATCCAAAACTGCAAAAAAAAAAAGAAAAAAAAAAAAGACTTTTCAAAGTTAAAACCCATGCTTTACAGAACAGATGTTTGTAAAGCAACGCAAATACCCACTTCCTGCAATTAATAAAAGCCATTCATTCATCCATTCATCCGAAATCATAGGCTACACTGCCCTCTGCTGGTTAATAACGTGATAACGTTAAAAGGTTGAAAACATCCTGCTCTTTTAAAGAAACAGTTCACCCGATAATGAAAATTTGCTGCAAATTTACTCACCTGCAGTCTGTCCAATAGTTTGTTTCTTCGTGGGATCAGATTTGGAGAAATGTAACATTACATCACTTACCAATGGATCCTCTGCAGTGAATGGGTGCCGTCAGAATGAGAGTCTAAAAAGCTGATAAAAACATCACAATAATCCACAGCACTCCAGTCCAACAATAAACGTCTTCTGAAGCAAAAAGCTGCATGTTTGTAAGAAACAAATCCATCAAGATCATTTTAACTTCAAACCATTGCTTCCAGCTGAAATGAGTCCATAATAAAGCTTTCTGCATTTTAAAAGTCATCTTTTCTGAATCAGGAGAGAAATCTGCACAGATCAAGCACCATGAAGAAACAAACTCATCTACAACTTGGATAACATGAGGGCGAGTATATTTTCAGCAAATGTTCATTTTTGGGTGAACTATTGCATTACCACAAACTTGCCATGTGATCCAAGACCAAATAATATTTCAAAGCATGGTATTGCATAAGACTTTATACTCTTTCAGCAATTTGCATAAAACATTTATGCACTTAATTTACAGAATTATACAAAAGCAAAACACATTAAAGCACAGTGCATGTGCAAAAATCATAAACCATTGTGATATTAAAAATAAAATATTGAGTATCCAAAAAAAGGGGGGAAAAAAAGATAAAACTGCCTTGTTACAGTATCTTGATACTCCTTGAAATACTCATAAAGCAACAAATAGAGTCCTCCAGCATTCAAAATAAGCACACTGTGATAGGAACATTTTTTACAGACCTGGCCACACTTTATAATATGTTTCAGTTCTGTAAATTTAGGATCTCGATGAAGCATTATGAATGCAACATATAGAGAAACCCCAGCAAAAAGCCCAATTTGATAGCAATATTAAATACACTATCAGATTTGTCTTATTTAAACAACGATGCAAACCTGTGAAGTAAATCAGAACCAATACTGATTTTCCAGCGTCAATCTTTTTCAAACTGAGGTTTCAAAGTGCATATGAATCAAAATCCATACAAATCACATGTAAATACGAATCTATAGTGCTTAGTTCCGAAACATAACAATGCCATTCTTTTCTATTATTAGGTTAATGGGAATAAAATCAACACAGAGCTCTAAATATTCCAGTTTGCTTCTGTAAAACATGACTTGATTGCTCCCTGGATGATCTGCCTTCCTTTTCACAGGTTTGTGTAATGAAGCGGAGAGAAAATCTGATGGTCCAGTAAAGCTGAAGGACTGTAATGTTCAGAAAAGTGCAGATATTTCAGTATTTCATGAGCGCAAAATGATACAACATTTGGTTCCTGCATGAAATATAAATAATATATTTTCACCAATAATATAGCTGCTTCCATAAATAATATATTTTCACCAACTTCCTTCTAATGATGATCATAAATTCCATGAACGATGGGACCAGATTTGATCGAGTCCTCATTCTGAAAGCCTGCAGCCTGTCTGCAGGCGGTGACGTCCAGCGAGCGCAGGTCCGAGCAGTGATCGGCCAGGCTGCGCAGAGCCAGACTGTCCACCCACTCGCAGTGCGCCAGGCTCAGGTGCTGCAGCCGCGGGCAGCTCAGAGACACGGCCACCAGCGCGTGACGGCTCAGGTGAACGCAGCCGCGCATGTCCACACGCAGAAGGTGCTGGTTCTGACCAATCACCGGCAGCAGCTCTTTGTCCGTGATCCAATCGGAGCAGTTGCTGACGCAGAGGTGGTGGAGAACTTGGTTGTGGCGAAGCATTGAGCAAAAGGCTTCTTTAGGAATGTGAGGCCCCGTCTGAGGAGAAACACGAAAGTATGCGAGTTTGATGAAATATCTGCCCAATATTTCAGCAGCCTTGGATCTGATACAGATCTGATACAGTGGTACAATATAAAACAACTGATACACACATTATATACATGTCTCACAAAAGTTTATTTTTTAGAAATGTATACTTTTATTTAGCAAGGATGCGTTCAATTGATCAAGAGCAATGAAGGAGAAATCTATAGTGCTTAGTTCCTAAACATAACAATGCCATTCTTTTCTATTATTAGGTTAATGGGAATAAAATCAACACAGAGCTCTAAATATTCCAGTTTGCTTCTGTAAAACATGACTTGATTGCTCCCTGGATGATCTGCCTTCCTTTTCACAGGTTTGTGTAATGAAGCGGAGAGAAAATCTGATGGTCCAGTAAAGCTGAAGGACTGTAATGTTCAGAAAAGTGCAGACATTTCAGTATTTCATGAGCGCAAAATGATACAACATTTGGTTCCTGCATGAAAACAGAGAGCTGCTTCCATAAATAATATATTTTCACCAACTTCCTTCTAATGATGATCATAAATTCCATGAACGATGGGACCAGATTTGATCGAGTCCTCATTCTGAAAGCCTGCAGTCCACTCCAGTCCATCAGTTAAGTCTTGTAAAGCCAAAAGCTGCGTGTTTGTAAGCAACAGATCCATTATTTTTGAGTTTTAACTTCAAACCGGCTAAAATATGATTCCATAATAACGCTTCCTCCAGTGAAAAAGTGGTCTGGCCTGAATCAGGAGAGAAATCTGCACCGATCAAACACCGTTTACAAGCCAAAACAGTTTTATACACACATGTGTGTGGATTTTGATGTGAGAGGAACAACAGGAGATGGATTTTTTTCACTGGAGGAAGCGTTATTATGTATTATGGGCTCATATTTTAGCCAGAAGCAACGGTTTGAAGTGAAAAACACCTTCATGATGGATGTGTTTCTTATTAACGCAGCTTTTGTCTTCTCCAGATGTTAAGTGATGGACTGGAGTGCTGTGGATTATTGTGATGTTTTTATCAGCTGTTTGGACTCTCATTCTGACGGCACCCATTCACTGCAGAGGATCCACTGGTGAGACAGTCATGTAATGAAACATTTCTCGAAATATGTTCCGATGAAGAAACAAACTCGTCTACATCTTGGATGGCTTGGTGGTGAGCAAACTGACAGCAAATTTTCATTTTTGGGTGAACTATTCCTTTAACACGCATGCGCACAAAACAAAACAGCAATTGTCTTATGGATACACTGCTATAAACGTGACAACTCGTTTTAACATGCATATGCACCCACTGTATCACAGAAAATCAGTGTTTATATGGACAGCGCAGACAGATGAATAAAACACCTCGTTTAACTGCGGCTTGCATGCATTGACTGGATTGACACTGAAGACTGGAGCAATGATGCTGGAAATTCAGCTTTGATCACAGAAATAAATTACATTTTACAATATATACACATATAGAAAACAGTTATTTAAAATTGTAATAATATTTCACAATATTATGGTTTTACTGTATTTTTGATTAATTAAATGCAGCCTTGATGAGCAGAGGAGACTTCTTTAAAAAAAAAACATTTTAAACATGTAGAGTACATTCTGATTTACTTCTGAGCAATTACTTTAAAACTTGAAGATCATCAGTAACATATTTCACCCTATACTCTTCTCCAGAGGAGAACCATGAAACCCTGAATGTTTTGCAGTATGTGAGACCAGGACAAGGGTTCCTCCCAAAGTTCCCCATCTTCAGCAGGATTGAGGTGAACGGCTCTGATGAACATCCTCTATACGCCTACCTGAAGGTACTAAATCTCACACAAAAATAAATACATAAATAAAAAATACACTTTTCTTCCCCCCAGACTCTCATTTTAAATGCATAAATGTGAATGTAGATTTACTGTAAACAATTTCAGTTTAAGTCAGTTGAATTCAGTTCTAGCAAAGGAAACAGCTAGATGAGCTTGTTCTTCTAGGAAACTCTGCCGTTTGTTAACCCAGTCATTGGAGACATCAGGAAGCTCTACTGGTCTCCCATTAAGGCCAATGACATCCGGTGGAACTTCGAGAAGTTTCTCATCACCGCAGACGGAGTTCCTTACAGAAGGTAACAAATTCAGGCTAATTTGCATTTCATGTCCAAAATAAAAGAAGAAGTGTGGAAAGACCCTACACAAATATATGGGCACTGAATGCCATGATTGACCAATCAGAATCAAGTATTTCACAGAGCGATGAAATAAATGAAAACAATTAGCATCTGTAACTCTGCTGAATTGTGTATTTTAGGTATGACCCTCATTGTCCATTTGAAGAGGTGGAGCGGGACATTGCAACACTTCTGCAGGGAAGACATTTATCATAAGCAGCTCTCTGATTATGATTCAGATTCTTCCTCTTTCCTAGATCCGACCAGATTCAATCAGTCTGTCAATGAGTGAATCTCACGAAACCTGCCATGAGAATGTCTCAAACATATTTCACTTCAAAGTCAATTGAAAAAAATAAGGATATATATATATATATTTTATTGTATTATAGGATCATTATTACTTTCTCAATTCTGACATGATTTTCAATTAAGACCAAGAAAATATTCCCCCAAATTGTTGTAATTTCAAAATAATTATATATTATTTAAATTGTAAACAAATGCATACACTGCGGTATTATTTGTTATATTTATGCTGATTTAATAATAATAATAATAATAATAAATATTTGGCAGAATGTGTAATTGTCATAAAAATAAATTGCACACAAATTGTAATAGTCCTAAAACTGTCTTCATTTTCTTTCTAAAATTATAATAAATTTTTCTTGTATCGTAATTTCAAAATAATTATATATTATTTAAATTGTAAATAATTTATACATTGTGGTATTATTTGTTATATTCATGCTGATTTAATAATAATAATAAAACAAATATTTGGCAGAAAATGTGTAATTGTCATAAAAATAAATTGCACAAAAATTGTAATAGTCCTAAAATTGGCTTCATTTTCTTTCTAAAATTATAATACATTTTTCTTTTATTGTAATTTCAAAATAATTATATATTATTTAAATTATAAAGAATTTATACATTGTGGTATTATTTGTTATATTTATGTTGATTTAATAAAAAATTAAAGATTTGGCAGAATGTGTGTAATTGTCATGAAAATAAATTAAACAAAACATTAAATATTCCTACAATAGGCTTCATGTTTTTAAAAAAAATTATATTTAAATTTATTTTATTTTAATTCCAAAATAATTATACATTATTTACAAAAAACAAAACAAACAAACAAAAATTGTGGTATTGTTTGTTATATTTATGCTTATTTAATTTAAAATTATAATAATAAAATGGAAGAATATGTGCAGTTGTCATGAATAGAAATAAAAAAAATTAATAGTCCTAAAACAGGCTTAATTTTCTTTTTTTAAATTACAATACATTCTGTTTCTTTTGATTTTAGGGTGAAATATTACTTGATTATTTCTTTCTTTATTTTTTAATGTTTCATGAGATTCATGCCATCACAGTCAGACTTATCTGCACAGAATTCAAAATTCTAAACCTCTCAGAGTTCCGTCTCTTCAGCCGCATTATGGGTCTACAGAAAGGCTTTAGGTTGTGATTCTGGACCAATCTGCACAGTTTTTTCTCTAAAGCATGTCTTCTCCAGTGCGGCGGCACAGTGACGATCCCTCAGGAAATGCCGTCCGGCAGCTGAGCTGGATCTGATGGGGAAGAGTGGATCTGATCTTTAGTGCATTCACTCAGATCTGCTCCTGACCCGAGACGCCCGCTGAGACCAGAGGCCCTGCAAACACTGTTAGCATGATAACTGCAGGAACAGTAAAGAGGATTTTAACTCTACAGGTGTACCGCTGATTCATTTGGATGCTGAAACTCATTCATATAGCACAATTAAAGAAAGTTTAAATGTGAAACTAAAATAAATGATTAAACTGAGACCTGTCCAATAGCCAAAATAAATAAATAAAAACAAAAAATAAACAAAAATAAAATATTTGTAATAAAATAAATAAATTAATTAATTAATTTAATTGAAAATTAATCCTTAAAATATTTTTCATAATTTTTTATAAATACATTTTCTCAGCACAGCTAAAGAAAGCATAAATGTGAAAGTAAAATAAGTCGTTTAATTGAGGCCTGTCCAATGGCAAAAAAGAGAAAGAAATTAAATTACATTTAAATTTAATCTTTAAAATATTTTTAAAGCATAAATGTGAAAGTAAAATAAGTCGTTTAATTGAGGCCTGTCCAATGGCAAAAAAAGAGAAAGAAATGAAATTACATTTAAATTTAATCTTTAAAATATTTTTAAATAAATTCTCTCTCTCTCTCTCTCTCTCTCTCTCTCATACTCTCTGATATTGCACCATTATTATTATTATTATTATTATTATGTTTCATGAGATTTATCCATCCACAGACATTAAATTGATCTGAAATCTTCACATTGAAATGAATGAATGAATGATAATAAAGCAGACATATAATTTTTAGGTGAACTATTAATTTAAGAGATAAAATCCCATTCTGTGTAAGAATATATCATTTTTATTTTAGGATAAATATTTCCTGCATTCTGACATTATTTTCAAATATCGAATGAGCCAGAATCATTAAATAGGATCTAATTTCTGAATTCTGAACTAAATAAGAAATAAATAAGAAAAAGGCAAATAAATTATTATTTTTTTAAAAAGCAAAAAGGTGAACCTCTCCTTTAAGAGTTTTGAGGTAAAGGCATTTTTTCTCCATTAGATGTCAGTGTTGTACAGTCAGACTACAGCACTACTTTAAACAGGTTAAAAAACAGATTCTTTTATTTCAACAGACACTTTTCAAATCAGGACAGAAAATCTAATAGCATTTATAATGATATTTAGAAGTAAATCTTTCAAATGTGTAGCAGCAGGTGTGTAGAATACAGTCATTCTCTTACAGTAATTATAGACTGTAAAATAGAGTTGATTACAGACTGTAGAATTCATACTACATGTGAAGCATGAAATCTGGATTGTGGCCTTTGCTCGGGCTGCTGCTCTCCTCAGAGACAGACGCCTGATTTTCTGCTTTCTTAATTGCATCTGACTGTCGTTTCGGAGCCGCTTATAATGAGCCGCTCACTAAAGCACATGTTTGAGATGTTTCTGCAGTCATTTACATTGCACTGCAAATGTGTGGAATTGCATTAAATGTAATTGTTCTCTTTAGTAATGGTGAAATATCTCAATTGAACTGAAACGGCTGTAATTGCTTCATATGCCATCATGCAGGTCAGACAGCTCTGAATATTGGGCCTGAACTCGTGCGCTGTCGTAATTTCTGTCTTTAATTAAGGCTTTTGAAAGCTGGCAGTGGTTCATTATGGCTAAACTGTGTGTTTAGTGAGAACATGGGAGTGTAGATTATAGATGTGCAGTAAAACAGGGTTATTATACTTAGCTAAAAAAAAACCCCCACAAATATAATTTTTTTGTTACCTGAAATAAATGTTAAATTAAGTAAAAAAGATAGATAGATATAAAAACATTGTTTTATATCAGCTAGTTGACAAAGCAGAATTTCTTATTTTCATTTAAGTACAAAAAATAACTAATAATAAACTGAACAAAATGACTAAAACTTTAACTAAAATTAAATTGAAAACATAAAATATAAAAATAAAATCTAATGCAAGATATTGTCAAAAATATAAACGTATGTCAAAGATATTAACATAACACTACAGTAAAATCACAAACAATAATTGGAATATATAAATCAAATAACCATATGCTATAATTCCATATGTTATAATTAATTTCTCATAAACAAAAGTTTAATTATTTTTATACGTTTTATATATTTAATGAGTTAAGTTGTGAAAATGTGCCGTTTTAGTCTCATATAATCTCATCTAATCACGTTAAACATAAATCATGTTATATTTTTATTCCAAAAAGTGTGTATTTAAACATGCATTCCATATTTCCATGATCATGATTTTGACTTTTTACAAACTGAGGGATGAATTGAAATTATTTTCTGTGCTAACTGACTTCACGTCCCAAGTAGGCTTTCTTAGTAAAATGTCATTGCAAATATCTAATTTTGCTAGCAATTATTTGAACAGTTCTGCGCTTCATTTGTCATCTCAGGCAGTAAATAAAACATGGCAGGAAGGTTGTTATCAAGCCATCAGAGCGGCTGTAGTGACCACAATAGCAGGCTCCATTTATCTGCCTGAGTTCCAGCGATGGGAGACAGATTTATATCCTGGACATCAGTCCTGCTCCTCACTGTATCATCAACACACACACTACACAGAGTTATAACCACATCTGACACACACACACACACACACACACACACACACCAGAGCAAACGATCAATCCTCACGCCTGACATGTGATTTATGAACCCAGAGATGCCAGTTCAGCCCGAATAATAATAGATATATTGTGTTTTATCACAGAAAAAAAGAAAGCACATAACATGAACACCACCACAACAAAAATATATGGAAATATACTGGAAAATAATGCAATATGAAATATTAAATTTCCTTTTGGGAAACTAGTGTTTATATTATATATTGATAGGCCTACATATAAAAAAATGACATACACATTTACATTTTTACATGTAATAAGTGTATTGAAACACTTAATTTCTCAAGATTTTTTAATGCTTGGGTTCACACAAAGCCCTATAATATAACCGTTTACTGTAAAAGTGTTTACTGAAAAAAAAAAATTATATTTATAATATATACAATACTTTATATTATATTATTATATATTATAATTCTATTAAAACATATAAATATATTATAATATTAAAATATTATATTTTTAGGCAATTGGATGTCTTGTTAAAGTCATGAAAAATGAGATTTGATATTTATAACTTAATTGACTAAGTGCTTTATGTGCTATATATAATATGTGTTTTATGTGCTATTCATATTGTGTGCTATAGATAAATACAAATACATCAAAATATATTTTTTGAGTACATTTATTACACATATACATGTTTCCATATAAATATGAATATATATATATATAGTACATATATGTTCAAATATATTTGCACACAAAAGTATCATATTTGATTACATTTACATCTATATATTATAAATGATATTATTCAATATAAAATTACATCCATTGTGATAAGTAAATATATTGTGACATATTTTTCAATGTAAGAAAATTTGCAATTTGCTATGTATTATTCACACATTATATTATTCATTATATGTTCAATATACAATACATAATTTAATATATAGATTATATATCATAATTTATATATATATATATATATATATATAAAAAAATTTTTTTTATCATTTTTTGATAGATTATATACAGTATATATATATTTTTCTATGGACTTGGACTTTGAAGGGACTTGCTTTGATTGAATGACATTCAGACATTTTAAAGTGTGACTTCAGCATCTAAATGCTGTATTTTGCAATGCTTTGCTTTGCAGAGTCAGTTGTAGATGTGCATGTAATGCGTTTCACATATTAAAAAATCCTTGTAGCAGAAAGTGAAGGGCCCTGTAAAGCTGAATCTCTG